ATCTATATTTTAAAAAATTGAATAATCGGAAAATTGCAGAATTGAACAATTGAATCGAGAAAATGAGAAATCCCAAAACTGAAACGTAGAAAAATTGGGAAATCGAAAAATTGAAAAACGCAGAAATCGAAAATTCGAAAAATTTAAAAAGCGAAAAATTGAAAAATGAAAGACCTGTAAAATCGACTTATCGAATAATCGAACATTTAGAAATGCCTAAAATTGAAATGAAGAACTGAAAACTAGAAACATTGAATCGAAAACTCGAGAAATCAAAAAATCGAACAGTAAAATAACTTAAAAATCGAAAAACTGAAGAATTGAAAAATTGAAAAACAAGAAGTAAAAAAATAAAAATTCGGATATCGTAAAAGAAATTAAAAAAATTGGAAACCCTAAAAACTGTTGGATGTAAAAATGGTAAATTCAAAAAAATCAAAAATCAAAAATTCGAAAAGTCGAGAATTTGAAAAATTGAAGAATTGAAAAATCAAGAAGCCGAAAAGGGAACAAACTGAAAATTCGAAAATCAAAATGAACCAAATTTTCAAAAAAACGAAAATTCTAAAACTTGGAAAACCGAACGTTCGTAAAGAAAAAATTGAAAAACTGGAAAATCGAATATCGAAAAACCGAAAATTTTAAAATCGAAAAGTAGAACAATGGGAAAATTGAAAAATCGAGAAATCGATTTTAAAAAATTTGAATATTGAAAAATCTAAAATTCGAAATCTGAAAAATCGAAGTGCCAAAAAGTCGAATAATTGAAAAATTGAAAAGCCGAGAAATCGAAATTTCAAAAAATCAAGAAATCGAAAAATCGAAAAATTTGAAATGAAAATAGCTAAAAATTGATAAATCCAAAACTTATAGTGTGAAAGGTTGAGAAGTTAAAAACTTGAAAATCGAAAAACTAAAAAATCAAGAAAACGGGAAATCGTGAAATCGAAAAATCTAAATTTAAAAAAATTGAAAAATCGAAAAATTACAGAACCGAACAATTAAATCGAGGAAATGAAAAATCCCGAAACAAAAAAATTGAAAAATCAAAAATCCGTAAATCGATAATCGAAAAATCGAAAATTTAGAAACGCCAAAAATTGAAATGAAAAATTGAAAATTTTAAAATCGAAAAATTGAAAAATCCTCAAACTGAAATGTCGAAAAATTGAATTATCAAAAAAAAATCGAGAAATTGAAAAGTTGAAAAATTGAGAAACTGAAAAATCAAAAAAATGAAAAATCCCAAAATTGAAGCACAGAAAAATTGGGAAATCAAAAAATGGAAAATCGGAAAATAGAAAAATCAAGAAACCGAAAAATTGAAGTGTGAAAAGTTGAGAAGTCAAAAACTTGGAAACCGAGAAACTGGAAAATCAGGAAAACGGGAGTTCGAGATATCGAAAAATCTAAATTTTAAAAAATTGAAAAATCAGAAAATTGTAAACTCAAACATGTAAACTCAAACAATTGAATCGAGGAAATGAAAAATCCCAAAACTGAAACGTAGAAAAATTGGGAAATCGAAAAATTTCAAAATCAAAAAATTTCAAAATCCAGAAATCGAAAAGTCGAAAAACCATAAATCGAAAAATTGGAAACCAAATATCTGTAAAGTCGATTAATCGAAAAATCGAAAATTTAGAAACGCCAAAAATTGAAAATTTTAAAATCGAAAAATTGAAAAGTCGTAAAATCAGAAAATCAGAAAATAGAATAATAAAAAAAAATCGAGAAACTGAAGAACCGAGAAATTGGAATATGCCGAAAATGAAATATCGAAAGATTGAGGTATCAAAAGAGAAAAGGAGAAATTGAAAAACTGGAAAACTGAGGAATTGAAAAGTCAAAAAACTGAAAAATCGCAAAATTGAAATATTGAAAAATTGAGAAATCGAAACTTGTAAAATCGGGACATCGAAACATCGAAAAGGCGAGCAATCGAAAATTCAAAAAAGTGAATCGATGGCATCCAAAATCTCAAAATTGAAACGTAGAAAAATCGGGAAATCTAAAAGTGAAAATCAGAAAATTGAAAAATCAAAAATCTGTAAAATCGATCAATCGAAAAATCGTAAAATTAGCAACGCAAAAAATTATAATGAAAAATAAAAAAATTTAAAATCGAAAAATTGTAAAATCGTAATATTAGAAGATCAGAAAATAGGGGAATGAAAAAAATTGAGTTATTAAAAAAAATCGATAAATTGAAAAACTGGAAAACTGAGAAATTGAAAAATCAAAAAACTGAAAAATCTCAAAATTGAAATATTGATAAATTGAGAAATCGAAACTTGAAAAATCCTGAAATCGAAACATCGAAAAGGCTAGCAATTGAAAATGCAAAAACGTGAATCGAGGAAATGAAAAATCCCAAAACTGAAACGTAGAAAAATTGGGAAATCAAAAAATTGAAAAATCAGAAAATAGAAAAATCTAGAAATCGAAAAGTCGCAAAAACAAAAAATCGAAAAATTGAAAAATCAAAAACCTGTAAAATCGATTAACCGAAAAATCGAAATTTAGAAACACCAAAAATTGAATTAGGAAATCGAAGAGTTTTAAAATCGAAGAATTTAAATGACAAATCAAAAAATTTTAAAAACGAAAAATTGAGAAATCGTAAAATCAGAAAACCAAAAAATCAGAAAATAGAAAAATAAAAAAAATGGAGAAATTGAAGAATCGAAAAACTGAAAAATTCCTAGAATGAAATATCGAAAAACTGCGAAATCTAAACTTGAAAAATCGAGAAATCGAAACATCGAAAAGGAGAAAAATTGAATGGAGGAAATGAAAAATCCCAAAGCTGAAACATAGAAAAATTGGGAAATCGAAAAATGGTGAAATAGAAAAATCAAGAAATTTGAAAGTCGAAAAATCCAAAAATCGAAAAATTGAAAACCAAAAGCCTGTAAAATCGATTAATGTAAAAAATCGAAAATTTAGAAACGCCAAAAATTAAAATGAAACATTGAACAAGTATAACATTGAAAAACTGAAAAATCCCCAAAATAAAAGTTTAAAAAATAGTTATCGAAAGATCGAGAAATTGAAAAACTGGAAAATCGAGGAATTGAAAAATCAAAACACTGAATAATCTCCAAAATGAAATATCGAAAAATTCAGAAATCGAAAAGACCAAAAATAAAAAATTCGAAAAATTGAATGGAGTAAATGAGAAGTACCAAAACTGAAACTTAGAAAAATTGGGAAATCCAAAAATAAAAAAATCGGAAAATAGAAAAATCTAGAAATCGAAAAGTCGAAAAATCAAAAAATTGAAAAATCAGAAACCTGTAAAATCGATTAATCAAAAAACGAAACTTTTGAAACACCAAAAATTGAAACGAAAAATCGGAAAATTGAAAAATCGTAAAATCAGAAAATCAAAAAATAGAGAAATGAAAAAAAATCGAGAAATTGAAAAATTGAAAAATTGAAATATTCCCAAAATAAAATATCGAAAAATTCAGTTATAAAAAAATTGTGAAATTGAAAAACTGGAAAATCGGGAATTAAAAAATAAAATCACTGAAAAATTTCAAAATTTAAATATTGAAAAATTGAAAAATCCAAATTTGAAAAACAGAGAAATCGAATCATCGAAAGTTCGAAAACTTGAGAAACCGATATTGTTAGTGGGATTGATTAGCTAAATTTTAGTTGGCGTTCCACCGTCTACACGATAATCCTAACACACATTTAAAATTGGACAACGATGGCTCCAGTAGTTTCGGAAATTATCTTTCTAATAAAAATCGGGACAGACGGCAGACGGACGGACAGACAGACGGAAACGGGTGACCTATTTTTTTGTCCTCTAGCGGTCATGAAACGTCAACGAAACATAAAATAGCCAGTCGCCCGGTGGAATCGATTGCGACAGTAATAATAATCTCGAGACAACAGTGGTAAAAAAGTGTGCAATTTCTTGCCATTCGAAGCATATAAAAGCCACTCCATCACAGCGCGAGTAAAAACTCACGGTAATTCACCGTAACACATATTTATACCCAACATTAATTTTAATGTTCTTAAAAAGCAGAAATCGTAACGTACGAACAATGGGTGGTCGATCCCGGCCTTTGTGCCACGATCGTCGTCGTCTCCTTTACATAATTTAGGAAAAAATACGAAAGCTTCCTCCGTCTGGTCGTCGCATATAAATATGAATTTCCAAATCCGCGCCTCAAAATATAAATTTCGTTAAATTAACGCTGCCGTTCGTCCCCTGCTGCTACCGATTTTATCTCTTAATTAACCGCCTCCTCGCCTCAAATATTCGCTCGAATCGCTCTTAAGCCTCACCCTCCACTCAGGTAAGAATCATGTAATTTATAATTAAATAAAAATTCCACCGTCGTTTATGGCGTTTATTACAACAAACCATCGAAAATCGTCCGCGACCATTTGAAAACTATTAGGACGCGCGGCTGGAGGCGGCGACGTGTGTGGCATCCTAATATTGTTTTTATCGTGGATTTCGTGGCGACGAATGTCATCCACAGCCGATAAAAATTTTCAACGGTTTTATTGTGGCATTCGGATCGCAATTTTTTAATTAAGAACGGCGCTGTAAATCGAGGAATAAGTGACGGATCTGAGAGCGACGGCGAAGGAATTTTAATTCGAGGAAGATGGGAGAAATTGATAAATTCCTTAAATGTCGCGGATTGGATTTCACGAGATATCTTAATCGCGGCTTAAACCGCAGCTACTGTACGAAACGGGCTAGATCGGATTTCGGGAACGGCATTTCGACGGAAGCCTTAAAAAGTGGTAAAGCGATACCTTGTCGCCTGGAATTTGTCGCTTGCACCTCAGGTTTTCCAGAAAATTCGAATCAAAAATTATAAGAGAGGGGGAACTGAGGGTTTTCTTTTTTTTTCTAGATAAAGCTGAAAATGTCTGTGCACTGTGATCGATAAACCCACGTTATCACACCCGATGATCGATCATTTTCACACCTTTTGCAGCGGTAATAACGCTGTGGACCAGCTCGTTGTCGGCGGCGTCGCCTAGGCCCGGGCCCGCAGCCCACAGATGGACCGGCGTTCCTTTGGATTTCCATACCGGGATCCTCGCTTATTAGCCTATCGGCTGGATCGGTACGTAAGTAAGTAGATTAATGGTGAGTTTACTGTGTGTTTAAGTGGCCGCCCATCCCCGGTTTATAATTTGGGGGCTCCACAAAAAACACACGGGGGAGACTTCGAGAATTACCCGCTCTTTTAATTACGGGCTCTCGCGGTGGCTGGAATGAATGATATGACAGTCGCTGCCGGTCGTAAACATCCTCAAAATTTACGCATAATAAAATTTTTAGAGCTGTAGCTCGGTGTGACTGTGAAATTTTTCGAAAATTATCAAACCGTTCGTACAAGTCATAAATCAGACATTTATTTTGTAACGACGGTTTTTTCTAAGTAAACTTCCCAGATCCGCCGATAAACCCATCAATGAGACGAGTGGCACCGGTTTAATTGCTCTTAGAATTTTTTCGATATCAGATCGGTGCTTATTGCCCAATAAAATCCCTGCTTTCCAATAAAATTTTGTTTACGCACACTTATCTCTCCATCTCGGTACGTTTCCGATGTTTGTCGAACCGGAGTTTTTGCTCGGGGTGTGCCGGATTTCGCGTTTTAGGGGTGTCGCTGTGCTTTAAAGTGCATTAGTTGAGGGGGTTGAGCGAGGAACGTGCCGTCAGTCGTAAAGCGTTGCATGTGTGTTTCTAGTTATACTTGTTGGATTAGGGGTGGTTTAGACGCTTTGTCATTTCACGTGCACGGTGCCGGATCTATTGTACATTAAGTCCATTGTTATTCGCATTTATAATGATAGTATTCTTTGGTTGTGCAGGGGCCGGAGGTAAAAAAGCGTTAGATTAAAACAACCCCTACCAAAAAACTACTCTCGAAGTTCGGTTTTTGCCTCCACAGCGATAGGGTCGCTGTGACGAACGTCTAATTAAACAGACTGTTTCCTCCACGTACTGGTTACCTTATTGCGTCATATTAAAAAATTATTAAATTTTAGCTAAACCGTTCGTTCTAAATATCTCCGGTTATTTTTGTGGAGACAATGCGAATTATGCGACGCATTTTGGTCTTTTTAATTAACGGCTTTTAAATAAATTAAAACAAACATTTTATAGCCCGATCGGCTGCGCCAAAGGTGGGTCGGGCCACTTAAATTGATTAAATGGCTGTTTTATCTGGATTTTTTTCCGAAGCGAATCAAGGTCAGGCACGGACAAATTATCCGGACGTTACGAAATCGAGTGGAGTACAGTTATCTCCGACAGACGGAAGAATTATTGTTCGGTTCTATTTAGACGGAGAAAACCAGAAAATGCATAACAGGTGCTGCTAATGTTCGAATTTTCACGCGCGGTTATGCAACCAACAATACGCGAGACCGTTAGTTCCGCGTCACGAACGTCGATTTTTCGCGGAAAATGAGCAACAAGACAGCGAATTTTGTCTAGAAGAAGTGCCGAAAACCAACAGTCGCCGAAGACAATTTTAGGCAAGGCTGGTCAAGCATTGCGCCCGGAGACTAACGTTTTTCTCATCTGTTGCCCAACCAATTCCCTTAATTATTGCATAAGAAAGTACGGAAAAAGTCACTTCCTAATTAATTATTCGAATAACGAGATGTAAAAACATTCCGAATCCAGGTGTCTCACCTAATGGGATTCTAAAAGTCTTTTAATAACTTAATACGCAATATGTAAATGCTAAATACTGACAAAAGCGATAATTGCCTAAAGGTCTATAATTATACAAATGGGGGCTCACTTAATACGTCAATAGTCTAGATTTATACCCGGCGAATGGGGCTCTTAGGGTGGCCGGTCGTCACAACTTCACCATATTATTACCGACGCAATGTTTGTTTTGGGGTTGAGAAATCGGAAAATTTATTAGAAGACGGATTTCGGTATCTGTTTATCAGTTATTGTTCTTCGTGTAAACACTATATAAGAGTCCCGCGTCACGAGCTGACAGTTCAAAGACATGACAATGAACGTGAGAATCGTCGTCACACTCTTTATCGCCAGCGTGTTTCAGGTAAGTTAAACACACAAACTCTTTAAATTGTACTCCTAATTGCCAAATTTAGGGCACCCGAGCCGAAAGCATCAACGACGCTATCGCCACCCTAACCCCACAAATCGTAACCGTGAAGACCAACATAGACGCCATTGTCCAAAATGGCCGCAACCTAATCATACAAACACGTCGAACCATCGGCCAAAACATCGCCGAAGCTGAAACTACCATCCAAGAACAACTCGACCAGTTGGACGATATTATAGAACAAGCGGGACGTGAAGCCGAGGAGAAAGGACTTGACGTTTCCAAGTGCATTTCTGACGTGTCGGTGGCACTTTCAGATCTCGATGTTAAGAAATTTGAGACTTGTGGTGCCCACGAAAACTTACATTCGATTGGGAGCGAGTTTGGCAATTTGAGAAAAATCAAGGGCGATTTGTCGCGATCTGTGGGTCTGTGCAGATCGACAAACCCTCACGACGTAGACAATTTCAAAAATTGTCTACAAACTAATATAGACGAAGCTGAAACGAAGAGTGACGGAGTGAAACAAAAAATCACAAATGTGTGTACCGACGCTGTTAAAGCCGCCTCCAAGTGTGTCGTTAAAGTCGTAGGAGAGCTAGATACCACTATCAGTACCGCAGCTCACGATTTAAAACAATGTTTATTACAAATTTTGTAACTTAGTGGAATAAAACTTGTTTGATTGGAGTTTGGGCACGTTGTCACGTACCACCTTTCCTATTTATTTCCCTACACATCCACTATCACTCTACATGATGGCAAAAGTGTTGGTACTGTCTCTAGTGTTGCACTTAGTTTCACCCAGTTCGTGCGACTGCACCCCAGGGAAAATAACCGTAAGTCTATTCAAGCTTCCTGCACGTACCATAAACGATCTGCGCTATGTTGGCAAAAACACTACCCATCAAATCTCGAATGCAATGATCGTGGTCTTCGAACAACTTTTTCTTGGCTTGTTGGAATTCTTCGTTCACCAAAACACTCTGTCGTCGTAAATCCACGATCTTCGACAGCTCGCACTTCTCCAAATTTTCCCCTTGAGTTAGTAGAGGGTTCAATTCCCCACAAATCTCCAGAGTCGAGCACGCCACTTCTTTCAACTGCGCGAACTTCGCCCTGGTTTTTTCCAACAAGTCGAAATCTAGCTCCATTTGACAATCCTCGCGTGCCTTGTTTTTGAAAACTTGCAACAACTGGCGACATCGCGTGTCGTTTTCGTTGTCGATAAGTCTGACGATTTCTTCGTCGATGGCGTTCTCGACGAACTGCGCGTTGACGTTGATGTGTACTTTGAGGACGAGGATGTCGTAGTAAGTACCGCCGATTTTCCGATCGAAGTCTTCCGCTATGAAGTGGATATCCAATTCCGCGTAGTTGTTCGGATTGGGTCTATAACAATTGGTCTTCCGAAGAGATTATGGTTAAGTACTGCTGCGGTACTCACCTGACACAAGCAGAACAATAAAACTACAATGACCAACATAGTTTTTATTCAACTAAGTGACTTTAGCAGCGCACTATGTTAAGTACGTGTAAATATCGTCACAGCGATAAGCACTTAAGAACAAAATCTTTTTATTATTGCTATACATCGCGCGTTGTTTTGCTCGATTTCGGACCGGGTTTTCTCGAAATAGTCGTCTATTTGTTGAAAATTGTACCCAGAATAAGTGACTCCAGATAGCAATCGTCGGTACTCGAGTATAATTCCATACAGAGTACCTAGTTTGTCGTCCACGTAGCACTCATTCAGTGCACTCGGATGCACCTTGTTTACTATTTTCTTTATTTGTCTATGATTTGTTTTGGCTTGGGCTTGGAGGTCATAGTACTTGTACAAACTCTGGTCGATTTTCCTGCTTAGTTGGTTTTTTACTTTGGCCAGAACTGGGTCACACTCGTGACAGTTCTACAAAGAACAATTTTTACACATTCGGGGTACGTTTAGACTTACCACGACCAAAAATAGTACCATCAGCACGACAATCATTTCGCACAATGCGTGTTTGTGTATTTACGGAATGCATTTTTCCGCACATTCAATGATAATACATTTTAACGATTCATTTGTTTATTAAGCATACATTATCTACAATTACGAGCTATTTCTAATCCGTCACAGCGGTAACGGAGCGAAAAAGCAAACATTGATTTCGTAGCTGATAACACCGATCTGACCCAAAATACTACCACCGTTGTCAGTTAAACACTTTATGTTGTAATGGAGCGTGGAGTTGGTCAACTTCTGGTACTCGCTTCCAACTATGTTAATCTGGCGGTTCAAATCTGGTACTTTGTCGGCGAGGCATTTGGCGTACGACTCGAGTTGGGTTTCCAGGGGGTTCAAGTACTGGCAGTAGTTAGCGGTACTGCTAGCCACTCCAGACAAACTGTTGAATTTTTCTTTGCTAACCTTCAAACTGGACGTGTTGACGTTGGAAAGACAATTGTTCAAAGAGGTGGTACTCAAACGGTTAGCCGCGGCCTCTTGGGTTTTCAGACAAGTGAGTACCGGAGCTGTAACATTCGGAGATTTTTTGGCATCGTCAATGACCTGTTTGATGTTGTTGATTTGAGTTTGGGTGGAGTTTTTGCTTCGGGTTTGGTGTTTGTTCAATTGGGCGAGTAAGGTGTTGTATTCGCGATCAGCCTCCAGGTACTTCACGTTCGCTAAGTCCCGCAGACGTAAGAGAGTCGGTTGAAACTGGGTTCGGATTTCTAGTCGAGTGATACATTCGCTGTGCTAAAAAACCTGGATAAAATTGACTAGATTTTGGGCGGTACTTACTTGAAGAGCGAGAGCGATTAAGATGACTATTACTTTAGCAGACATTTTGCTGGTTTGAGAAACAACTGAGTGCGTACGTATTTATAACGAAAAGTACTGATAAATATTTATTTTGCAATGCAAATAAGGTAAATCCCTGTACATGGCGCAATTTTGGTGATTCAAATTGTTTCGGGGGTCATGTCTAATCTTGGCCTAATAAAAGTGCAGTTTTTTTTCCCAAGTACAGCAAATAGCTTGATGGCAACGTAAATATTTTACAGGGAATTTCCTGCCCTTCATCTAAGGACGTAGCTCGTGAATTTCAACCTTCCATCGATAATCTCGGAGGAAAAATTTCAACTGTGTACAAAACAACAGGGGACATGGTTGGATCGACGCGAAACCTAATTCGCGACAATATAGCAAGTGCCAAAAACCTCACTAATCAAAAATTTTGGCAGACGAGAAATCTCCTCAGTGGGGCTAAACTAGAGGCAGCTAAAGCATCCCACTTGATAAAAGCGTGCATCATGGACCAAAATCTACAATTCGCTAAAATACAGCGCGCCAATTTCGTCCCTTGTCGAGGCAATTTTTCTTCACTGGTCGAACTAAGAAAACAAATTCTTCAACTTAAACAAGTCACTGTAAACCTAGTACCTGGTTGCATCCATTTAAACCCTCTGGAAAGTGAAATGGAAAACCTCCGCTTGTGTCTCAGTACAAAAATAATAGATCTACAAACGCAGCTACTCTTACTAGAACAAAAATTCGCAGACAATGTGAAGAACGTGGTAAATTTATCCACCAATTGTGTCACGAGGGAAACAGGAGATGTCCACACTAAACTCGGTGCGGTCGAAGGCGCCGTGAAAAATTGCAAAAACACCCAACGACTCCACTGACATCACAGATTTTATCTCTCTTCCTGTTTATCTCCTAAAATCTATTTTTACATTTCCAATTGTCTTCAAGTACCCACTCGATGTGATAATATAAGCAATCATTTTGCCACTAGTCCAAAATTTTTTCCAAGATGCTGAAACACGTCACATGCTACGTCCTCCTTAGCCTCTTCCAGGTAACTCGTCGCCCTTTTTTCCCACGTGTAGTCACCCTTTTCTAGGGCTACCTCTTCACCAGTCGTGAAGACATCATCGCCGAGTTTCAACCCCTCTTGACCGAACGAGCCAACAACTTCACCATCGAATTCAACACAGCTAGCACCGACTACCCTGAAGTCGTCGACAAAATCAAAAACGAAACTTGGACGGCTGTGGCTGCCCTCAACAACCAGATCGCTACCTTGAAGACGACCATCTCTACGGACATCGCCGCCGCCACCGAATCCGACGTTATTAATTGTCTTAGTGGACAGCAAACCGCCGCCAACGAGCTGTCTTCGGATGCTATCAACTCGACGTGCTGGGTTGGGGTGACGTACCCAGATCTGGAGAGCGCGCGGGACGCTTTAGGGATTTTGGCCCAAATACCGAATAACACCATAGACGCTTGCGCTAGTTTGAATCCCCTTCCGAGTCAAGATCAACAATTCGTGAACTGCATAAGCCACAAGATTTTGGACTTGGACTTGATGAATGACGTTCTAGTGGGGAATTTTACGGAGGTGAAGGAGCAGACTTTGAATAGTAGTACGGCGTGCTTGGCAGAACAAACTGGGGTGCTTTCGCAGCAAATTAATGACATTAACTTTCAGGTGACGCTTTGTATGTCGTAGACAACACCTCTTTTTAATAAAATAGTGTGATAAAGCGTGTTTGTAGTTTTTTTTACTTAACTTTGGGTTCGTGGTTGTCAAAGTACCAAACAATTTAGGAAACATTTTTTATTTTTACACCTATAGCTACATGCTAGTTCAGAGACAAGCACAGAGTGACTTGGAAGTTAATTTCCACGATCTTCGACGTGATCAAAGCGCTTTGGTCCGATATGCACTCCACACTCGTGTTGATGGTGTCCGTCCTAACCTCGGTAAAATTGCTCTCCAGTTGCTCGAACTGCTCATCCAGATCTAAAATCTTGTCGGTGATACAATTCAAAAACAGCTCGTCTTGGTTGGGTAGCGGGTTCAAGGTGGTACAGGCGCTTATAGTGATAGCCGGTATTCCCGCCAGAGTCCCTATCGCGTCCCTAGCGGCAGCGAAATCCGGGTAAGTAACCCCCACCCAACACGTGGAATTGATAGGAACGGGGGTGAGATCATTGGCGGCGGTTTGTTGCCTGGTGAGACAATTCAAGGCCGCTGTATTATTTTCAGAGATGTTCTGGGCCTGGACGATGGTTGCTTTGATGGTTGCGATTTGGGAGGTCATGGTGGCGACGGCCGTCCATGTGTTGTTTTTGATTTGGGCTATGATGAGGCTGTATTCTTTGGCGGAGAGGTTATAAGCATCGGTGAAGTCGATGGTTTTGTTGTCTAAGAAGGGTTGGTACTCGGCGACGATTTCATTACGATCGAGGAGGAGGTAGCCCTGAAAAAGGGGTGTTTAGAGTGGGAAATTGGGGTTGAAGAGTTACCTGGAAGAGGCAAGCGAGGAGTGCGTATGCTAGAAGCGATTTCAACATTTTGGAACGCGATGAGTAGGTGAAGTGAGGTATTTATGAGGAGTGTGAGTGGGTACTCAGCGATTAAGAGTGATAGGATTTTAAAGATGGTAAATTTAGCCATGGCGCACTTGACAATGTTTTGGCAATTCATTAAAACAATCAACAATGAATCAAACACAGATGTGCGGATTTAATCTCGATTTTGTATTTTGACACATTTTTTAGATTCTTGATTTATTTTGTTACTAAACCAACAAACACGCGACTGATAACAAATTTTTCTAGGCTTTCTGAAGTGCCTCGAAAGTTATATTTTTTAAGTACGTTAGTTAAGCAGTTATTATTTTTTTTGGAAATATCTTAACGACTATCAGATAAAGCTTTAGAACTCGCAGCAACTGCCGACACCACGTACTATCGTTCGTTTACAGATTACACGGATCAGCTACCTAGAACCGATAATAATCTCAACTATTCCCCGAATAATGGAAAAATTCCCTTCGCTTCCCGGACCGAGGCGCAACAATGGTCCCAAAGTCGCACAAAAGCAGTGACCATTTCAGCTTTTGATATATTGCGCGATCCCTTTGTCCAGTCCCGGGCCTGTCATCAATTTTTTCTTCCTCGTCGAAATTTGAATAAAATTTGAAACTATTAAGCTATGCAAATTTCTACTATTAAAACTAGATTATACGTACCACACACACGGATTAGAAATTTATTCTTAGATAACCAATAATTAGTGGATCGTCTTGAGCGGTAGCACATTAGTAAGTGAAATAATGATCGACACGGCGTCGCCTCGGGACATTATGAAGATCTCTATCGTCTGACACAATCTCGGGAAAATTCGCCAGAAAAAAAGGCCACTTGGAACTGTGCCCCCTACGAAAATTAATAAACCCCATAGAGTATAATCAATTTCGAATTAAAGCGGTGGTCCGGACACAAAAGGAAGAATACATTAACGAATCGGCTGCAATTAAAAAATTATTGCCCCTTCTGTTAAAAAAATCTATTAAAGCGGATACATAAATCATCGCTGCAGTAGTTAAATGATCACTTTCAGTTAAGAACTGTCAATCGAGAGGTTCGGGATCATCATTCAAAAGTGGCTATTGTTTCGTTTTTGAGGAGCGAAATTTTATATTTAGGGAGTCGGGGATTACGTCAAGCTTGATTTTCCAAGAAATGTGTATTTTTCACGCACTAGAAAGATTGAAGATCAGTAAACAAAATTCTTGAACAAATAATCAGAATGATACAACCAGTTGGGAATGCTTTGTTTATTGTTGAGACAAATTACGTGACAATGTGTTCGTTCCAAACGTATTTTTGGCAGTTATTTGGACTTTTCCTGATTGTCAGATAAGTTATATCAAAATAAATATGTGGTCATTGAGTGTGGATATTTTAGAAGAAACCAGATGAAGTACGTGCGTACCATTTATCAAACTATATTGTTTAGTTTCGGAGTGATAAGAACATAGTTGTGAAATTCGTCATAACCCTTCACACACAACTGGCTTGAGTGGGTGTCAATGTTTAATTTATATTTAGATATTTTTAGATTCTTCGTGTATCAAAGTGTGATTCTCGAAAATCTACAAAGTCCTGGAAGAATTCTCGTCTTTGGTTACTTTTGATTGTTATTTACCAAGTTTTAAAAGCGATTGACTAAAACATTTTTTTTTTTTGTTATAGTTTTTATTTACCAAAAATCATCACACAGTAACTAATCATGACATACACAGTGTCACCTCAAAATCAATCTCATTAATCTGCTCCGAAACCAGAGTACTCTGATCCGCCAAGCATCCCACACTCGTGTCCAACGTCTCCGTCTTCACCGTCGTGAAGTTCGCCGTCAGAACGTCATTCAACTCATCCAAATCCAGGATCTTGTGGGTAATGCAATCCAGGAACAACTCATCCTGACTAGGAAGAGGATTGAGACTGGTGCACGCCTCTATGGTACCGTTGGGTATCGTGGCCAGCAGATGCAGAGCGTCCCTGGCTGTGGCTAGATCCGGGTACGACACTCCCACCCAGCACGTTGAGTTGATAGCTACCGAAGACAAGGCATTAGCGGCTGTTTGCTGGGCGGTCAAACAAGCCACGACGGCGTCGTCGTCGCTAGACACATTTAGAGCGGTCACGATGGTCTGTTTTAAGGTAGCAATCTGGGTGTTCATGGAAGCGACCGTGGCCCAGGTTTGATTCTTAATTTCCTCTAGCGTCAAGGTGTATTCTGCTGCCGCTTCGGCGTACTCGGCGGAGTAGTTGTTGACTCGTTCTGTTAGAAGGGGCTTGTACTCGGCGATGATGTCGTTGCGGTTGAGGAAGAGGAAGCCCTGAAAGGGTTAAGTAGAGACGGGGAGAACAGAGGGTGAATTACCTGGAAGAGGCACGCGAAGAGCGCGTAGAAGGTGAGTTGTTTGAGCATCGTGGCGGAATTTTGGAGGAGAGATGGAGAGGTTACTTATATTGGAGAATATCAGTGGAGTGGATACTCGAGATAGTTGTAGATGCCATCAGGAAGAACGATAAGGCTTTGAATCGTTATTTGTCGTTTAACTACTTAATTAAAATGTTCACCACTATTTACACTTTGTATTTATTCGCACTTGTGAATTTTGGGTCAAGTACATATTAATTCTCCTAAATTATATTTACTCACACGAGTAAATAAATATTTAATCTCTTTTCACGTAATAAATGATTTCATTCTTTGTTGTTCGAACCATAAGATGTGTTCTCGGGTTGCAGTTCTTTTCTTCGTTCTTTGTCTTGAGGTAAGAGAAAACTTCGTTGTGTCCAATCTAAGTAAGAATTTTCAGAACATCGACTGTGTAACCCAACTGGATATTCGATCACAGTTTCAGCCAACGTTGCTACGTTTACAAGATTTAGCAAATGTTAAGTATGTGCAGACCGACAACGAATGCAAATTTTTGGTGACCCACTTGAAGAAGTATCAAACCAGGGTTAAATTGTCTTCGCGCATCCAAATTAGGAACATCAGAAAAGCCGTAGCAGCTGCTAGAAAATTATCACCAAAGGGCGATACTTGTTTGAAAGAGCAAGAAGTCGCTGTTAGTCGTTTAAACACTGATTCTTTCGACAACTGTTTTTCCAAAAGGAATATTTCTGATTTGTATGCCAGTACAGCAAAATTTAAGATTTTAAAACGCACAGCAGCATCAAGTACTCTTCATCATTGTCGGTACTTAAGTAATCTTCCAGACACTCAGTTGAAACCGTATACAAAATGTTTATCTAACCAGGTGTCAAAATTGAGTCTGGAAGTCAGTTTAGCCGAAAGTGGGTATCGAAAATTGAAAAACGCTACGTTGCACGATGGCATTCAGTGTTTGGTTGATAGTAGTGGTGATATTTTGGGACAAATTTGGGCTATTAGTTACCAAATCGGCAAATGCGGATGTCGCAGATTGTAACAAGTCAATTCAACAAAATGAGCATTGTATTACAATTTTTTAATAAATTTGTTCTGGTAAATGATCTTAATCCGGCATCGATAATCCAGCAATAATCCGACCTCTCGTCGCTCTCTTCGTCCTCAGCTGCAGCAGCCTTGAACCATCTGCATAAGATTTATGTCAAGGCCTATCTTCGTCTATCCCACCTAAAAGGACGTCGGTTTCACACGCATTGGAACACATAATCGCGACACTGTATACATCCTTTCTCGATTTATTCAAATTAACGGATAATTGCCGCCATAAAACATAACTCGATTATAGATGAGGCGTGAAACCTTGTGTACCCATCCCAGTGGTAATACCTGAGCAATAATTCATAAAATCGCATTACTCACCCCGCGCAATTTGTCGCCCCTCCGCGTCTCCCGAATCCATCATTTTTTAATTGGACTTTGAAATAATTATCCCCGTCCAGCTTAAAGTGGCCAGGATAATTTCACGCTCGATCGAAACGCAATAAACGAAATGTTTGCAATAAACGCATTTACGGCTTTACGGTAAACGCCCTAATAAAAATCCCCGCCGAAGTCCGGCGAGCGAATTGGGTTAAGAAGGATTCCTCCGGTTATTGTTTATCGTCGCAATTATTCGCTTTATGGCCGTCGTACATTGTATTGATAATAACAATAAAGTAAATTAAGTCGAATCAAGACGTTATTAAATTTTTTACGGGGCTCCGTTATCGTATGATTGAGATAGCGCCGTTTTTTCGCGAGATTTTTACGACTCGAGCTTTTGACAGCTTTTATTAAACAAACGTAATAAAAGCGAATTTTCGACAAATAACCTTGCACTTTGTTAAGGTAATGGTCGGATGGCGACTTTTTGCTCCGGACGGCGGAGAGCTGTTGCAGTACATACATAATGGCTGATAAAATCAGCTGATTAGTAAATGCGGCAAATGTTGAACAAGTTTCTTGCCAGAACCGACAATGATAGCATCGACGGGAAAACAACGTCATAATTCTTGGATTAAGTACCACCAATATCGCATAAATTTTGGGCGCGCGCGGTACCGTTGTTTCGATGGGGCATTGTTTGAAAAGGCGACAGAAAAAGACAATTTTTACTTCCTGAGCGTAAGCTTTCAATGTTTCATGACCTCTAGAGTACGAAAAAAGTGGTGTTCCGTTTCCGTCGTCTGTCGTCTGTTGTCAAATTTTGTATGTATATTATCCCACCACGAATGGGATGACGTCATCTCAAAAATTTACAAGAGTAAAATTGTTTTTAATTCTACAAAATAAGATACTTCTGCACTTGTGATGTATGAATACATAATGAGTTTTCAGCCTAGACAGTCAGATTTTTGGAAAAAAGATCAAAATTGTATAAAAACATTTTACAATTAACTTTGAAACTGCAAAATCGAAGGCTTTTAAGGTTTTCGTTACTATAGTAAATCGTTAAACAAAATTTAAACGTTTATCTCTTTCTAAAAAATGGATGACGCCACCTCAAAATTTTGTCGAATAAATTCTGTCTGAAATATGCATATTGTTACGATGATCGGTGATTAAAATCAGCATGGGTAAAACTCAACAATTTTTTTCACAATAATCCAAATTTACATGACTGATTACACAGCGATTATGTACAAAATAATTCCGACACAACTTGACTGGACTGACTTCGCTCATCTCGATTTGTTGACTGAATTCGCTGAATAATAATCGTTCCGGAAAATGGCCTCTATTTAAAGCCTTACTTACTTTCTAGAAGTTCCGTAGTCGAGGTCTTTCTGGATTGCCCATCGCGACTTCCGCTTCTCGGCTTTTCTCCGGCTGCCGTCACCGACAATGAGTCATCATTGCCATACGTACTGGGGCCGCGTATGGTGTTCTTTCGTACCAATGTCAATGCACTCATAGTTTTTAGAATGACATACTTCTACAGGGTTACTCTAAAAAATGATGAATGAGGTAGTTTTAAGATGGCTCGATTTTCAATTTTTCGTTGTTACGATTTTTCGAGATATCATTTTTTGAAACAGTTTTCGGAGTTCTCAATTTTTGGATTTTTTGGTTTTTCCATGTTGAGATTTTTCAATTTATCCATTTTTTTGATGTTTATAACTCTCGATTTTTTGTTTTTTCAATTGTTTGCCGTTTTGATTTTTCGATATCTCGATTTTTTGGATTTTCAATTTTTTGGTTTGTTAATTTTTCGAGTTCTCAAATTCTCGATTTCCAGATTTTCGATTTTTAGGTTTTTCGAATTTTTGTTTCCTTGATTTTGTAATTTTAGATTTTTCAAATTTTCAGTTTTTCGTTTCTTTGAAAGTTTGATTTTTCCTTTTTTCGATGTTTCAATTTTTCAAGTAGTCGAATTCTAGTTTTCTCAATTTCTCGATTTTGCAATTTCACAATTTCTCCAATTTTTGGTTTTGCATTTACCGATTTCTCAATTTTTAATTTCTGGATTTCCCGATTTCTCGAATTTCATTTTGATTTTTCGATTTTTTGAATTCTCAATTTTTTGTTTCTCCGATTGTCCGATTTTTCGATTTGTTGAGTTCTCAATTCTGAATTTTTCGAATTTTTCTCTTTTTCGAATTCTCTCAATTGTTTGATTTTTCGATTTTTCCGTTTGTCGATTACTCGAAGTTGCAATTTTTTGATTTTTCAATTTTCTAAGTTCTCAATTTCCAGTTTTTCCAGATTTCTTGATTTTAGATTTTTCAAAATTTTGCTTTCCTAATTTTACGAATTCTAGTTTCTCGATTTTTAGTTTTCTCGATTTTTCGATTTTCCACTTCCTCAATTTCTGAAATTTCTGGTTCTATATTTTTCGGTTTTTGCATGTTTGGATTTTTCGATTTTTCAAATTTTTTGGGTTTTCGAATTCTCAATGTTTTTCAATTGTTCGAATTTTCGATTTGACGATTTTTCGAATTTTCAATATTTTGATTTTCCAATTTTCTATGTTCCCAATTTCTTCATTATTATGCTATTTTATTATTTCAAATTTTCTATTTTTCTAGAAATTGTGCATTAGAAAAATCGAAAAAAAAATTGGGAATTAGAAAAATTGAGAAATTGAGAAACTGGTTCCTCAATTTTTTAATTTTTGGGGTTTTCGAATTCACAATTTCTTGATTTCTGGGGATGTCGATGATTCAGTTCACAATTTCTCCATTTTTTTGATTTTTAGAATTCTCAATTTTTTGTTTTTTAGATTGTTTAATTTTTCGATTTTTAAGTATCTCGATTTTTTGGAATTGCAACTTTTTGGTTTATCAATTTTACGAGTTTCCAATTTTTCGATGTCTAGATTTTCGATTTTCAGGTTTTTCGAATTTTTGCTTTCTTGATTTTGGAATTTTTGATTTTTCAAATTTTCAGTTTTTCATTTTTTCGAACATTTGATTTTTCGTTTTTCGCTGTTTAAATTTTCAAGTACTGGAATTCTGGTTTATTCGATTTTTCGATTTACTAGTTTCCATCTTTTTGGGACTGTATTATTTTATCGATTTTCCCATTTTTAATTTTTCGATTTCCTGATTTTTTGAATTTCATTTTGATTTTTCGATTTTCTGAATCCTCAGTTTTTCCTTTCTCAGTTGTTTGATTTTTCGATTTTTCCATTTGTCGATTCCCCGATTTCTCGGTTTTTGTGTGTTTAGATTTTTTGATTTTTCAAATTTTTCGAATTTTTGAATTCTCAATGTTTTCAATAGCTTGATTTTTCGATTTGACGATTTTTCGAATTTTCAATTTTTTGATTTTTCAGTTTTCAATTTTAGATTTTTAGATTATTAAAATTTTTGTTATTTTGATATTTCAAATTTTCGATTTTTCTACAAATTATGAATTGGAAAAATCGAAAAATAAAAAAATTATTTCACGATTTTTTAATTTTTCGATTTTTAGAATTTACAATTTTTTTTCGGTTTTGGCATGTTTAGATTTTTCGATTTTTCAAATTTGTGCGATTTTCATATTTCAAATTTTCGATTTTTCTAGAAATTGTGAATTAGAAAAATAGAGAAATCGAGAAATTGGTTTGCGAACTCTCTATTACTCAATTCACAATTTCTCCATTTTTTGATTCTACATTTTTCGATTTTTCGAATTCTCAATTTTTCTTTTTTTCGTTCGTTCGAATTTTTGATTTTCGATATTTTTCTTTTCGATTTTTCGAATTTTCGTTTTGATTTTTCAATTTCACAATTTATGGATTTTTAGTTTCTCGATTCGACTTCTCGATTTCCTAATTTCTCAATTTCTCCATTTTTTTATTCTCAACTGTTCGATTTTTCTTTTTTACTTCCCGAGCGTCAACTAAGTATGTATAATAATGGAGTCCATCGGGCGACTTGCCAGCTTTATGTTTTCTCGACGTTTCATGACATCCCACCCCAAGTGATCTCTCGTTTCCGTGTGTTTGTCATCTGTCTGACTGTTTGTCTCTGTCGATTTTTATTAAACAAATAATCTCAGAAACTACTTGTTAACTACCAATTGTTGTCAAATTTGGTGTGTATATTAGGAATATTAGATAGTAAAACGCCAACTAAAATTTATCTAGTCATCCCCACCAACAACGTGATAATCTCCTATCAAAATTTTCAACGATAAACATTTTTTAAATTCTCCACTTTAATTTACGAATCCGCACTGAGTTTTCATCACAAACTTTTGCGTGAGTGAGTTCGAATCTCATTCTAGTTGACTTTTTTTTTAATCAAGTCAATAACGGTTTATCCCATTTTCTCAAAAATTAGTCGTCACGTCCGCTTATTTTTAATAATAATAAAATTATTATTATTGTTACAACAACAGCTCCTCGCCCAAAAGTATATATATTCGGACCGTTTTGGTCTTTGTAGTTTAATTAATTAATCAGTCCTTTCCTTTGTTTTAAGGAGACAAAATCAATCAAGTGAGGTGGCTGATGCTTGAAATGGAAACGTGCTTATAGTCGAATTCTTTCGAAGTATAAACATAAACACT